GAACAGTAACTCTAGTTTGTCAGGTCTCCGGTGATAATTGAGGAACACAGAAGCCCCCATTGGGTTAATACACAGAAAGGGCTTGCTGGGCGAATACTGAGAAATGAATGCATTAAGTGCACACAACAGAGAGAATAAAATAAGGCTGAAAATCCAACAAAAGTCCCTCATTTTCTAGGGGGTGGAGCGTACAGAGCCGTTCGGCAGACCTCGAGGCCAGGAGACCCATCTCTGAGCCTCTGAGCGACTCCGCACACAGGTCTGACGCTGAAGGGAAGGAGGGAGGGGGAAGGTGGTGACCGGCTCGCCAGGCGCCCGCTAGCTTCCTAGACTGAGAACCTTGGCCCAGACCCAACCTGTCTGCGTGGGGCTGGGGCTGGGGCTGGGCTTGGTCCGGGAGTCTCCGAGCCCAGCGAATCAAACACGGACAGCAGCGACCCCGGGCCTCGCGAACCCACCCCCGGTCCCCTGGATCTCTGCTTGTCCCCCATTCCCTGGGCAGTTTGGCTGCTGCCTCTTTGGCCGGCACCGTCCGCCTGGCAGACTGAACTCCCCACAAAACACACAGACGCGCAGAGCCGGCGGGGTGGGAGTCTTTTATTTCGTGCTGTCAGCGAGGTCGCGGCCCCGACGGAGCCAGGTGGTCCCCAGCCACGCGCACGCCAGCGCGCCCGCGCGCCGGAGCTCCTGGGTACCACCCGGAGGTGTCCGCTCGGTGAGCCGGGTCAGCCGTCGCCCCCTCCCGGACGGTTGGTCCTCTCCGAAGGCGGTAGTGTCGGTGGCAGTGTGGACAGCACACCGCAGAGACAAGCGCAAAGAGACCACACAGCACTGTACGCAGTGGATTAAACAGAACACGAAAAAGCGGGACCTGACAGCTGGGAAACGGACAAACCTTAGGAGGAAGAGGCGGCGTTTCTCCAGAGAGGAGAACCCGGGAGAAAATACGAAGCGCAGGGAAAACAGCAAGCAAGAGGCCAGAAAGGTTTGCCTTTTTTTTTTTTTTTTTTTTAACTCTCTAGAATTCTGCATTCTCACGGGAGAGGAGGAAGGAAGAGCCTTTTACCTTCTGCCTCAATGGAAGACAAGAGCAGGGCCGCGCCCAGGGCGGCGAGCGCTGGGGGTAGCGTGGTCCGCATGCTCGGCCTCCGGGCTCACAGCCACATGAAGGGACCTGCGGGAGGAAGCAGTGACCGCATCAGAACCGGGCCCGGGAAGGCCTAGAACCAGGTTAGAACTGGAGCCTGGACTGGAGCCAGGACCCGATCAGATCTGCCTTAATAATCACAGGGCCCAGCCCAGCATATAATGGGCCTATTGTGGAGCAGGGGAAGTCGAGTTCATCTACAGCAATTTAATCACGGCACTAAGGGGGTGTTCAAGTTTAAAGAGGGTCCTGTTTTCCTGGAGGCTGGTCCTGCTTAGCATCCCGGGTGAAGGCCTTACCAGGCCCCACATGACTTCATCCTGCCTGAGTGATGGCTAATTCAGGGGTCATTTTATCCCTGACTCAACTAAATGTCTCTTCCAGCTGGGATTTTATTTGGAGGGCTGCTTTTTCCTAGCTGCTGAACTCTTCAGGTAACTGCACTTTAGTGGTCTCGGAGTAATTTGGAAAAGTATAATAAACCTCTTTTACTCTCTTTTTTCTTCATTTGGTTCTGCCTACAAATATGTAGCTCTTGAAGGTCTGAAATGGATTATACAGAACTATGTAAGTAAGGCCCAAGGGAAACTTGACCCTCCTGCTAGCTGTGTTGTCTTCACATCTGATAAATCTTTCGCTCAAGATGAGGAAAAAACAACTCTGGACTACATAATAAAAAGGCAAAGGCAATAGAAGAGACAAAACACACTTGTCTGTTTTCCCAAGACATTTTTTTATAAAATTCTTAGGAATAATTAATCTTTTCATCGAACTGTTCATGTATTCCAGAAAATTACAGATTTATATGCCCCCAAAGAAAACATGCTCCAGAAGAAAATATATTCTCTTCTCATTTTTCCTGAGTCCTTAATTAGGTTATTAATTCCTTAAAACAAAGAGTCTTATTCATCTTTTGTCATTCCCGGCACACAGTAGGTGCCTAATCCATGTTGGTAGAGGGGAATCTTCTAAAATATTCTAAGCTCCAATTCAGAGACAAAAGCTACTAGCAATGAACTTAGAAGTGGGAAGGGGCCAGAGGCAAAACAAAAAGAGAGCTGACTCTGAGGTCCATAAATTACTGTAAGGCAACAGAGAAACGAAGTCATGCTTGGGAATCCAAAAATAAGCCAAAGTTCGAGCCCTCTTTGAGAAAAGAAACTGACAAGCTCCAACCATGTCTTTCCAAATCATTGACACCATGTATTAGGGCAGCTTTCCTCAGCCTGAGTGTAAATTACATTTTAAATGTCTGATGAACAGCCGTGCCAAATTGCCCACAGCTCCTTTTTAGGAAGCCAAGATTAAAATTTTGTCGCTGCTCTGGTCATCCAAGAGCTCTAGCAATTTCTTCCTAATTAACAACTGTTTGACATTTCTAACCCTTTTCTACATCAGTGAAAAGCGAGAGGTGAGACTGGCCTATTGTTGCCGTCATTTGGCCTTAACTTTGCTATAATAATTTCCAACTGCCTTGGCAGTCGTGCTCGCGAAAAGTTAAAAGGTTGACAATCGACCCACAGAAAAGCTGCGTGCAAATTTTTTTTTTAACCGCTCAACTCTCCTCAAAAGCCTGTATGGTGGAAGGGCTATTGTCCGGGTCTAGAGCGCCACCTATCGGCTTCCTGACAGCCGCACAACGCATCATCTCTGGTCAGGGTATCTGAACATAGAGACAGTTCAGCCAGCCGGCCAGGCATTCCGTTCATACGTATTAAAAAGAAAGAAAGAAAGGGAAAAAAAAGTTTTCTCTCCTTTTTAGCCAAGACATTTATCTGAACGTCTGAATGTTTAGCAACACTTCATTGAGCATTCTCATACATAAAGTCTGAAAGCGGCCGCCCCTACGTGGCAGCGAGGATTCCCTCACTTCACCCTCATGAATGAAAATGAGTCAGTTGCGGGGGAGGGGGGATGGGATGGGGAGTGGAAGGCTTAAGGGATTCTTCTTCTGCCAACTCGTCCCCTCCCCCGCCCCACTGGAAGAGGCCAATTGCTTTAACTCTCGTGTCAAGTTAAAAAAGGAAATTACACCCCACCCCCACCCCCACCCCCGTGGGGGTCCCCTCCAGATCCCGCGCGTGTCACCTCCCTTCGATCCTACCCACGTCGACCTCGACCTTAGTTAGCCAGGGGCGAGCTTAGCTCTCATTTCCTTTCTTGCCCTGTCCCTCCCCAGCGTTCCAGCATACTTCACAAGGCCACGCTGCCCGGGCCGAGGTGCGGGGAAGGGAGTTCCGGAAAGCCCCCAGCGGTCACCTGTGGTCCCTGAGGGTGCCTATTCGGTGTACCTCTCCTGCTTCCTGGCTACTGGTCCCTGCTCCGTAAATACACACACTCTCTGATCCCTACACTCTCTAGGATATGGTATGGAAACTACTTCAGAGGTTCCATGACCCAGACCAAAGCACTCGAGAGGTCGGGAGAGGGAGCTGTCTCCAGAAACTGGGTAAAGCCGCCCAAAGGTGAGTCCCCTAGAGCTGAACTAACACACCATCTCGGATGCTTTGAAAAGCCAGAGAAGGCGCCTGAGCACTCGCCCAGGAATCTGTCTCCAGATGCCACACACACCCGCGCAGCCTCGACGAGCGGCAGAGCACTCAGCCGGCCCTCCAAAGAATTCCGAACCGTGCGTCACTAAAATACCTTCCCCGCGCGCGGGCTGCGCCCCTGCAGCCGCCAGGCAGTGAGCGACGGGCGGCCGCCGAATCCCGCGCAACCTTCGTTCAAGTCGCCAGCCTCTCCAGACGAAATGCCTTTACAAACGGGAACACTGAACAGGCTGCTTTGCGCACACATAGCAACCCTGCATGGGCACGTAAGAAAACCTCCAATTCTTTCTCCCTCAAAGATACAAATGAATCACAAAACTTCATGATACCCGGCAAATCTCAGGCACATCTCCACTCTCACGAGTCCAAATGGTGGTTCCGCACTCGGAATTATAAGTGGCTTAGAGCGGAGCAAGGAACAAACTAGAAGTTAGTTTCCCC